CCAAGGCTGCTATATCCAGCCAAGGTTATCCTTCAAAATTGAAGAGAAATATAAAATTTCCAAGATAAACAGAGATTAAAAGAATTCATGGCAACTAAACAAGCACTACAAAATTTACTTAGTGAAATACTCCATACAGTAGAAATCAAAAACAAACTCAAAAGAGTTCACAGATGAACAACTTTCATTTGAAGAGTAGCTAAACAAATAAGAATCTAGCTCATTATAAGTAAATCAAAATGCCAGGAATTAATAAACATCTCTCTGTAGTAATGTAAGTGGTCTCAACTCTAATGAGAAGCCATAGGCTGGCAGAATGGATTAAAAAATGAGACCCAACTGTAAATTGTTCGTAAAAGTCACATCCTACAGGCTCGAAATTCACTCTATAAAGCCAATATCACACTCATAACAAAACCAGATAAGGACACATCAATACAAGAAAACTATTATAGACAAATATCCCTGATGAACTTTAGATGCAAAAGTACTTTGTAAAATACTAGCAAGTCATGTTCAATATTAAGAAGACTGTACAAAAAAACCAAGTTGGTTTTATTCCAAAGACACAAGGATGGTTTAATATATACAAACCAATAAATGTAATTCATCACATAAATCTATTTATGCAAAAAAATCAGAAAAACAATTGCATTCACAATAGCCAATAAATAAATAAATAAATAAATAAATAAAATCTAGCCAAGAAAGTGAAAGACCTCTACAATGAAAACTATAGAACACTGAAGGAAGAAAGAAGTTGAAGAAAACCTGAGAACAAGGAAAGACCTCCCATGTTTGTAAATAGGCAGAATTAATATTGTTATAACGGCCTTACTACAAAAAGCAATATACAGATTTGATGCAATCCCCATCAAAATATCAATGACATTCTTCACAGAACTAGAAAAAAATTCCTAAAATTCATTTGGACAAATTTAAAAGGCCCAGAATACCCAAAGCAATTCTAAGCCAAAAAAAAGAAAAAAGCTACAGTCACAATACCTGACTTCAATTTATACTACAGAGCTACAAAAACAAATACTGCATGCTACTGACATAACAACAGACGTATAGACCAAAGTTACAGAATAGAATATATATAGAGAGACAAACCCACACATCTATAGTCCTCTGATCCGTGACAAAGATGTCAAAAACATATATTGGTAAAAAGACAGCCTTTTAAAAAATTGGGCCAGGAAAAAATGGTTATGCACATGTAGAAGAATGAAACTACACCTTTATCTCTCACCTTGCACCAAAATCAAGTCAAAATGGATCAGAGACCTAGGAATTAAACGAGAAATTATGAAACTCCTAGAAGAAAATACAGGGTCAACATTCTAACATAGAGGCACAGGCAACATCTTCTCAATAGGACCCCTAAAGCTCAGGAAATAGTGCCATGTGTTAATACATGGGATGGCATCAAATTAATATGCTTCTGCACAGCAAAGGAAATAATTAGGAATGTGAAGAGAGAACTATCTCAGCATCACAGCCTAGTGAATAGGAGAATCTGGCATCTGGGAACTTCCAGTGGAAATTTCCTCTGGCCAAGACCACTCAGACATATTATGAGCCCTATCCAACCTCTTTCTGAGGTCCCACACAGCAACGGAGATGGGGGTGACCTGCTGCAGCCACATAGCCTCTCAGAGATGGATGTGACTTGCCAAGATGCCAATCGACCTGTTGACTGCAAGACATCAAGAAGCAAGACTCCAACTCCACCCCTGAAACCTTATCTCTGCCTTTGATGTACTCTGTTAAATAAACTACAGGGGCCATTTTTTATTTGTCCAGCTCCAGCTCCTGTGTAGGCTGGATCTATCAGGTGCTCTACTTGAAAACTTTAATTATTTCTGACTTATTTTCTCTGGTGGCTTATATCTCCTTGGGAAGGATAAAGGAGCCCCTGGCAAGGTGCTGGTTGCTTCCCCATAAATATGTTCAATAACTTTAGCAATTAGGGAAGTGCAAATCAAAACTACACTGAGATTTCATCTCACACCAGTCAGAATAGCGGTCATCAAGAATACAAATAATAATAAATGCTAGAAAGGATGTGGAGAAAAAGGAACACTTTTTCATTGTTGATGGGATTGTAAATGAAAATAACCACTATGGAAATCAGTATGGAGGTTTTTCAAAACACTAGGCATGGAACCACCATAGGACTCAGCTATACCACTCCTTGGTATTTATGCTGAAGAATTAAAATCATCATACTACAGTGATACATGCATACCCATGTTTATTGCAGCACAGTCAACCTAGGTGTCCATCAACAGATGAATGGATAAAGAAAATCTGGTATATATACACAATGGAGTTTTATTCAGCCATAAATAAAAATGAAATTATGTCATTTCCAGGCAAATGGCCGGAACTAGGGACTATTAAGTGAAATAAGTCAAACTCAGAAGGTTAAGAGCTGTATGTTTTCTCTCATGAGAAAGCTAGAAGGGAAAAAGAAAAAGAAAAATGGATGCAATTCTCATGAAAATCAAAGGGATATCAAAAGAGGGAAGGAACCAAGAGGTGGGAGGTGGTAAGGAAGGGGGAAAGTGCTGGTGATATTGGGCAAATCATATTATTATATTATGTATTGTGTGAATGTACAAATAAGTAACAACAAGCCACCAGTATATATAACTGTAATGTACCAATAAAAAATGTGGAGAAAAATTGTGTCATATAAAATAAAATGTGACATAATTACATTCATATAATCTTAGACTAAATGTGAACTATTTTTGAACAATGAATGTACTAAGATATTTGGGCAAATTATTGGAATTTATATAACTTTCTTGAAGTTTCCAGAAACTTCCAAGTTTCTATAATTGAAGAATTCTAGTTACTAAGTATGCTTTAACGATAACCCAATTAAGTTGCTTTTCACTGTGTCTTAGTCTATTTTGTGTTGTTTTAATAGAATATCTGACACTGGATAAAGTCTAAAAGAGGTTTATTTGGTTCACAATTCTGGTGGTTGGAAGCACTAAACAGCATGGTGCCACACCTGGATATATCACAACATGTGGAGAGGCAGAAATGGAACCAGTGTGCCAGCAAGGAAGCAAAAGAGAGGGGAGGGGGCCCAGGCTCACTCTTATAATAAATGTATCTCAGAAGCCAACCAACTCCTTTGAGAATTACATTGATTCCTTCCAAAAGTGGTACACCCATGAGCTGATCATTTCGTAAGAGTTCAACTACCTTGGTATCATTAAACCAAGGATGGAACTTTTTTCCCCCCTATTGCTGTTATCCACTGATTTTGAAATCAATATAAATCTTATATTATGCTAGATGCTTTGGTGTTGGTATGAGCATTTGGGGGACACAATCAAATCATATCAATACCAAAGCACCTAGCATAATATCAGATTTTTATTGATTTCAATACTCAGTGAATAACAGCAGCAGAGGTTGGGGCTATATATCAATTTTACGTGGAGTCAATCCAATATTATATGGAATAAAAATTTAAAAAAAAGAGGTTCATTCTTTTTTGATAGGTCCTCTAAATTGGGAAGAAATTCTTTTATTCTACTAAATTACTGTGTATCAGCTACTTTCTATGTAGTACCTCTATAATTTATGCTTGTTAACTCAAGCATAAACATAAACACTGCTTTTCAGACACCAAGACTCAAAGACCAACTAAAATCACACAGTTAATAAATGGAGAGGTGGGAATGAAAATCATAAGTGTCCTAAAACCATATTTCCATTCTGCCATGTGAGTTTCCCCTACAAATACAGAATATGAGTGAATCTAATAAATGCAAATAGAAAGGGCTAGCATGGCCTGAGGATCAGTAATTTCAGAGACAGGATAAAGTCTGATACAGATATTTCATTGCCTGACTGATATTTCATTATCTTCTACTAGCAGTGATTCGTAAAAGTGTGGACCCTGGAGCAGCAGAATCAGCATCACTGGTGAAATTGTAAGAAATGCTAAATATTGGTCAGGTTGAGAACCAATCTGACATTTAACAAGTAAGTCTTCAGGTAATTCCTGTGTAAGCTAAGGTTTGAAAACCACAGATCTAGAGTAATATAGTTAATTTTATTTCACCAGAAAGTAATTGGTTTCCTCTTAAATTAATAGATCCTTCTCAGGAACTGTTTCTAAGACATTTACATTTTCCCATTAGTTGGTACTTAAATAACTACAGTTGGGTGAATAGATATTTAATTAGTAAGACCTAATAACTCAAACTGCTCAAACTTGGAGAATATTTTTTATTTCTGTTCAAGAAAGAATTCAGTGTAATGTTTACTGAAAACAGTCAAACAGGCATGAAGATTTGTTGTACTAAAATTCTAGCATGATAGTTTTATGATAGTATAAACCTAAGGAATTAAGGATATTCCACTGAAATCAGACTTCCTTATCTATAAAAGTAGATATAAGAATTGCAAGGTTATAAGAATTAAGTCTGTTAGGGGTATGGTGCTGATTTTTGTCATGATTTTGCTAAATTTCTCTTGTTATGGTTACTGTCCCAATTTTGGCTCCAGTCATGTTGACAGCGGCAACTGTCCTCATCATGCCATTTTGTTCTATGCATTTTTCACTACTGCTCTCCCTCGCAGGTAATTCTTCAGCCTCCTCCTGCACCACCTTTACTAATTCAATCTTTCTTAGGCATCACCATTGCTCCAGAAGCCTGACCTTGATTACTCTGTATTCCTACTAAAATATACTTTCTCCAGTGTTCCTTCTCTCAGTAAATGGTTTGAGCTTGTGGTACAAACCAATTAAAATCTTGTAATCATTCCTATGACATCCTCCACCCAAGCCACCATCTTCTCTCACCTGGACTACTATGGTAGTGTCCTAGTTGGAGGACCCTTATCCTCTACTTTTTTTTAATTGTGGTATTGGAGATTGAACCCAGTTGTTCAGTAACTGAGCTACATCCCTAGACCTTTTTGTTTTTTTTTTATTTATAATTCACTAAGTTGTCCAGGTGTACCTTGAATTTATGATCTTCCTGTCTCAGCTTCCTGAATAGCTGGAATAGTATGGGCCACTGGGCTTGGCTCTTCCACTCTTGCCTTCCTTCAGTCTATTCTTCACGCCACCAAAGTGTGATCCTGTTTGAAATAAGTCAGATTATTCCATGACTCAGCTTAAAACCCTAAAGTGACTTTACAACTCACTCATTTATTTAACAAATATTCATTGCATACCTACTATATGGAACAAAACAAACAAACATCCTTGCTTCACAGAACTCATCTTCTACTAGTGTCAACAAACGATACAGTATAAGTATCATCCAATACAATAGCCACTAGCCACATGTGGCTATCATGATTTAACTGAAATTCAAATAAGACTTTAAGTTCTGTTCTTCAGTTGTACTAGCCACATTATAAGATCTCAACAGCTATCAGTAGCTGATGACTACTATTATTTGGCAGTACATACACAGAACATTTTCTTTATCTCAGATAGCACTTTGACAGGTTATTTTATATCAGAGGTTCTCAACTGGGGGTGATTTTGCTGTCTCCAAGGGAACATATGGCAACAATAGAGGTATTTTTGATTATCTCAACTAAAAGGAGGTGGTTACTAACACCTTGTTGATAGAAGGTAGGGATGCTCAAAAGCATCCTACAATGCACTAATCAATTCCTATGACAAAAAATTATCCTTCCCAAGATATGTCAATAGTGCTATATTCAGGAAAAATAAAGTCTAATTCAAACTATTTCTCCTAACATATTCACAATACAGATTACTTTCAACAGTAGATCCTTCCCCAGACCCCTGTGACAACCAATCAATTAATTTTGTAGTGGCAGACACCAGCTGGGTGTCCTCTATTCAATGCTAATACCTTATACCTAGAGATAGAATCAGGTCCCACAGGTTGAAGCTCAGTTCCAAGATTATACGCTCCCTGATCCACTTTAGACACCAGTCTGAAGCCCCAGTTTTATCTTTGCTTCAGACTGATTAGCTATAAATCAGGTTCTCATAACCTCTTCCTGTGTTTGATTAATTTGCTCTAGTAGTTTGCAGAACTCAGGGAAACACTTAAATTTACTAGTTGATTACAAAGGATATTACAAAGGATATTACAAAGGATACAGATGAACAATTGCAAAGGTCTAACTTTGGGAGAAGAGGCTCAGAGCTTCCATGTCCTCTCCAGATATGCCAACCTCCAGGAAGTTTCATTTGTTCAGCTAGTCACAAGCTCTATGGAATGTGTACTCTTTATGGAGACTTGTTTTTTGGAGACTTCACTGCACAAACATGACTGAAGCATAAACAACCACATCAAAATGTAACTCAACAAAAGAGGTGTGATCTAATGCTAACAGATGGAGTGGGGTTGGTTTGTCTGCTAAGCATTCTTCTTGGCCACTCTGTGCAGCACTCCTTCCTCCAGGGTATGGGACAAGACCCCTTTTGAATGAGGAAGGTCTTACCACCAACTTTCAGACAAGGGTAGGTCAAAGAATATCTTTATGACCAGTTCTAAGACAGAGAGGCAGAAGATTAGAGGTTTTATGATCCATGTTGGGGAAGAAAAATTCTAGTTTCCATGGCCTGCTCTGGGGAGGGATTTACAAACCATTGATAAAAATCAAAATAAATATAAAATCACTGTCTTCCTTAAGGATTGAGCTACTCCAGCCTCGTATACCTCCTTCCTTTGTGCCAAGAACATCCCTTCATCTACAAAATATGTACTATTTCTTTTTCCTAGATCATTCCTCTGTGGGTCATGTTCTCACTTCCTTCTGACATTTCTTTCAATGTCACTTTGAGAAGCCTTTCCTTACAACTTCTTGATTTATTTTTCTTCATAACATCTACCAGCAGAGTATACAGTTTCTTACATGTCTATATTCTGTTTCCTTCCACTGGAATGCAATCCCCAAAGGCCTTGTGCTTATCCTCAGTACAAAGAACAATACCTGGCAAATTGACATTTGGCTGCATAATAAATATTATTTTAAAATGAAGTAATGAATGAATAAAAAGACAATTAGGCATGACTTCCGTGAGGTCCCACACCAGTAGAAATAAGCGCTTAATTTTATCTCTCTTTTCCCCCTTATTTACTGGGAATTGAATCCAGGGACTCTCTAAGGTGTCCAGGCTGGCCTCAAAATTTTGATTCTCCTGCCTCAGCTCCTGGGTTGCTGGGATTACAGTCCTGTGACAGGATGTCTGGCTACAGGTCTTTGCTAGAAAAACTCCTGAAAGCTCTGAGAGAGAGAAAGAGAGAGAGAGAGAGAGAGAGATAGATTGATTTTTCACAATCTTACGTAAGTAGTAAAATAGAAATTCATCAATGCTTAATAAAAAGCCGAATTGGTGTATACTGGGTAAATGGTACACCAAATAACATCCATTGGTAATTTAACCGTGCCTTGTTTTAAAGACCATACGGTGTATTTTATGACATTTAGCTATTGTTTAAAAGTGCTAACATTTGCTCACCTGGATCCTCACATATTGGCATTTAGAAGCTGCACATTTCATCTACTAAATGAGAATACGCTAAACGTTAACTCACCTAAAGTATAGATAAAATCCAGAAGGCAGAATCAAGGAGTGTGTTTAAGTGTGATTCCTGAATCTAGCAGAGCATGGCTGTTTCTCTCTCGGTATATGTGGGTTGTCATACTACTACTACTAACAGCTAATATACATATACTAAGCTTCTATTGGGAGCCAGACACTGTATCTCTACTAGATTCATTTAGAGACAGGAAACTGGGGGTCACAAAGTTTAAGGAGCTAGCTCACAATCAATTAAGTAAACGGCGAAATAAAACCTGGCAACCAGCCTTCCAGAACTCCTAACCTTAAATTGCCTAGGATGGAGCAGGCGACTAGTGGAATGAAGGCAGTATTAGATCCCAGCCAGCTGCAAAGGGGAGTCATCTGGGAAGTGGTCAGACGTGGGATTCGACAGGTGACTCATTTTTTTTCAACTTTTCACAGTATAATGTTAACGATTATTTTAATTTATGTAACTTAAGAATATTAAACTACCGGCTCACCCAGCTCTGAAGTGGCCACAGAAGACATTCAAGCGCTCCCGGGGGCCGGGCCCGTGGGCGGGGAGGAGCCGCCTCCATTGGACCGCCCCACGGCATCACGGGAGCTCGCCCTGCGCCTGGCAGCCTCCGGCTTTCCACGCACCTGCACCTGCGTAGCCCTCCTAGGCGCTGTTTCAGAGGAAGGACTCCTGACGCATTCAGGGATTCTTTTTGCACCCAGCTCTCTTATGGACGGTCGATGTTCTTCGTGGAAACGCTGAGCTTCTCTTAAACGGGATAGGTGGAACTTTGCTCCCAGACAGCCCGGAACCACAAGTCGGGAGCACAGCGTTTCCTAATTGACCTCTTTAGCTATCACTTCCGCCCAGGGGCCTGGAATACCTGAGACCCTTCGGCGGCGAACGACGGGCAAGGCACTTCCGGTTTCTGTTGCTAAGGCGCGGGCCCGGTGGGCGGTGGAGACAACAGTATTGGCGTCGTCCTCTCCCCCCTTCCCGGGGGTCGAGATGTCGGGTCTTAGCCGTTTAGAGATGGAGGGCTGTCGTCACCTGCTCGGCTTACTGGACAACGACGAGATCATGGCCCTATGCGACACCGTCACCAACCGCCTAGTGTACCCTGAGGACCGCCAAGGTAAGGACAGACCCTTCTCCCCGAGGGAGGCCCAGACCTCACCCAGACTCCAAGCTTGCGGGAGCGTGGGAGTGGAAGAGATTGGAAGCCTAGCCCGCCTGGTATTGGTCCTCTAGTCATGCTTGGGCGGAATTCTGCGGATCCGGGTCACGGCCGCTCCTCAGCGGCTCTGGAACCACACACAGACCCCGGCCGCCTGGTCCTGGAGGTACGTGGTGGCGCTGGCAATGGTACAGCTTGCAGGTTTTCATCCTTGATGTTGTGAGCAAATGCTTGTTGGTTCGAGGATTCGGAGCATGGCAGTAATCATTTTTCACGTTTCCGGGGAGCCAGACTGTTTTCTATTCTCAGTTTCGATTTCCTGAGGAGGCAGCTGCCATTTCTCAGGCTTTTTTTCCTTCAAGCTTTCCGGGAGTGGGTCCGGTATTATAAACGCTTTGGATTCTTCTTTTACGTAAAACAAGTCACTGTAATGAAAAGGAAAATGGTTTGAATGCCTGTCTATCAGGAGCCAAAATTTTCTCGAGAATATTTTGTGTACTAAGAATTACTTTCAGAGCTAGGTAGTACACATTTTGGTAGATATTTCGAGGTTTAACGTTAAAGGAATACACCTAAGAATTTAGACTGAAAATAGTTTTAGACTAACATGCTTCTTCATCGTTTATATTTGCCTGGTAATCGCCTTCTTAACAATCATGGTGAGTTTTAATTTTAAAACTGTAATAGATTAAAATGCTAGATATAATTGGTAGTGGATCTAAAGCAAATAAGTAAAAAAATAAAAATGTCCCTGTTCAAAATTGTTTGCATGATTTGAAGACATTCCAGGAAAGAAAAACATTCAACTTCTGTAAAAAAACAAAATAATAAAAGTCGAAAACACAGTGTGTCTTTTCTGTGTACCTGGTTGACAAAACATTAACAATACAAGTCACAAGTGTTGGTGCCAGGTGCAGCAACTCTTTGACAAGTAATGGAGGAATGTAAATTAGAATATGACTTTGGAAAACGAGTTTGACATTATCTCTTAAAATGAAAGATGAGAGACATCCTCTAAACCTGGGCTTCTCAAATTTTTAAATGTACCATTCCTCTGGGATTTTATTAAAATGTAGGTTTTTGATTCAGTAGTTTTGGAGTACGCTCTAAATTCTGCATTTCTAGCAAGCTCCCAGAGATTACTTAACCCCTCTCTGTAGTGGGAGATATGTATGAGAATGTTCAAAGTTGCAGTGTTTGTATAGGACAGGCACAGTAAAGTCTCTAAACAAGAATAGAAACCTTGTAGTATAATCATAATTAGCTATACTAAGCAGTGAAAATGAATTAAGTAGAGCTACATGTGTCCACAGATTAATTTTAAAAAGCATTAAGTGAAAAGATGATTATGGAAAACTACATCTATTAATGGATTGAATTTATAACATTTAAAAATATTGTAAATATATTGTTTAGGAATACATATTCTATACAATTATATAGAAAACAGCAGGAAATGAAAATATCTAAGATAGTAGCTACTTTGAGATGGGTGAGAAGAGAGAGTAGTAGCATCAGGGAGGGGTGAGGTAGGGCCTTAAAAATACTTGTAATATCCTGTCTCAAGAGCTTTATAAGGTATGTATTTGGGAGTTTGGTATATTGCCTTTCTGTATACCTCACACATCACAAATATTCTTTGGTTTGTTTTATATGCAGTTTTTTTTAAATTAAAAAAGAAGTCCTGAATCTGCCATATCTTAGAAATATGGTTATTGATACCTCCTGTCTTCAGTTTTGTTTGTGGAATAAGGAGATTGAACTAAAATTATTTGACACCTAAAATACTGTAATTTTACTGATTTTTAGAGGTTGATATTAATTTATATCTCTTGGCTTTATTGAAAAAAAATTTCTGGCTCAATTTTTTCTTAAAAGATGAATTTTTAAAATAATCTGAGTATTTTACGTATGGGAAACAATAGTAAGCAATGATATTTTTTGAGGGGTAAGGGAAGTTTAAAGCATAAATTAATTTAAAAAAACAAAAATGACAATCCACTTCCTATATTTTAAAAACAATAGCTATCTCATGCAAAGGCAAATAACATGACAAGAGCTTAAATGTTTTTTTGATAGAATTTCTGCTGACATTAGTCACATTTACAAGTACTTCATGATTTTCTGTTAATCATTGCAATTTTCTTCTAGATGCTATTCGTGCAATATTAGTGTATAGTCAAAGTGTAGAAGAGCTTCTTAAACGTAAAAAAGTCCACCGAGAAGTCATATTTAAGTACTTGGCAACACAGGGGGTGGTTATACCTCCAACTACTGAAAAACACAATCTAATTCAGCATACAAAAGATTACTGGGAAAAGCAATTGCAACTGAAACTGAAGGAAACACAGGAGCCAGTTACAAAGACAGAGGACCTCGGACTTTTTCAGCAGGTAAATCAGATATTGTGGTAACATTCTGAACCTTTTTTTTTCTTTTGAAACTATGTAGATAATCCCTTGTATAATAGTCTATTGACTTATTAGAGAAAAAAATGTTTTCTTCATTTATTATCAATAAGGACTAATAGACTTTCAGAGTATAAACTAAGTTTCATTTAATTTGAATTTTGACTCTAGTTCTTTAATATTTTTCTTTTTTTTAAAGAAACCCATTATAAATCCTTTTTTTTTGTTGTTGTTTTTTGTTTTTTGCTACTGGGAATTGAAACCAGGGTTTCTTTACCACTGAGCTACATTTCCAGCCCTTTTTATTATTTATTTTGAAGCAGGGTCTCACTGAGTTTCTTAGGCCTTCACTAAGTTACTAGGCTGGCTTTGAATTTGTGATCCTCCTGCCTCAGCCTCCCATGTTGCTTAGATTACAGGTATATATCACTGGGCTTGGCAAATTCTTTTTCATTTTTAAGAGTTTCTTTGATATCAATGCAAAATGAAAGAAATTTAGAGTTTTTGACTAGAAAAAGTCCTGTGGTGATTTTCTTCAGCTGACATTGGCTATTCCTATTTCTTGTGTATCCACTGAGCATTTTATAGAGAGTATTTAAATACTTATTGAGTGAATTGTAGGTGATTCCTTTGCTTTCACATTAGGAATCTTCTAAAGACTTTTTTACTTAACATACTAAAAAGAGAATGGATTTTGAAATCATGCACATGTAACTTAATATTAAGGTCTGGCATGTAATAGGTCATGAGCTTAGGCAAATAACTTGATCCTTCTGAGCCTTGTTTTCTTCATCTATAAAATGGTTATAACAGGGCTGGATGGGGTTAGTTCTGGGTGTGTTTATAGTGTGAAATTAGCAAGTATAAGGACCTGTGTTTAATTCCCAGCATGCACACACACAAAAAATTATAGTAATATCTGTGTTAAGGCATATTGTGAAGATGGGAGGAATAATACTTAAGTGCCAGGCTTTGTATCTAGCATATTAGATAGCAGACGTTCAGTAAGCATAGGCTTTTTTACCATCTCAGTGAGGTAATTTGATGTGTGGAATACATAGGAGAACGAGATCAAGACTAGCAGGTATATCAAGTATAATTTTGGAGTAATATTTCCTTTGTAAATAAATAATAATATAAAATTAGCTCCAGTCATAGAAAAAAATGACTTATTTCAATCAGCTTAGAGTATCTGTTTAAAGACATAAAAATGCTTATTATCACCTTTATTGAATGTGATTTATACATGACAAAGTGCATCTATTTGAAACATGCAGCTTGAAGGCTTTGACAAATCTACACCTGTGAAAGCACTGCCAAAACTGGAAAAAAAAAAAAAATGCTTGTATAAGTCATTATTATTGACTGTTCATGCTGATGTTGAAGGGCCCTGTTAGTTTATGACATTTTTCAAGGGATTTGTCCATTTCATCTAAAACTTCAAATTCATGGGCATTGAACATGGTGTTCCCTTATCATTCATACGTGTGTATACTTATTCTACCATCATTAATATACTATGTATACAACCAGAGATATGAAAAAAAAAATGTGCTCTATATGTGTAATAAGAATTGTAATGCATTCCGCTGTCATATCTTTTTTTTTTTTAATATATCTTTCCATGGGAGGGGGAAAAAAAAAAAGAACAGGCTACAGGATGTTGCCCAGACTGGGCTCAAACAACTCTTGGGCTCAGGAGATCCTCTTACCTCAAGCTCCCCAGTGGCTGGAACCACAAGGGCATGCCAGTGAGGCCAGCTAGCCTTCATTAAACTTTACTTACTGAGTTTTCAGCTGGTTAAGCTGGAAATTTCTGAAAATTTTTTTCTCCTTTTTGGAAAATTACTTTTTATGCAAAATGAGTTCAGTCAGTTCACATGTAGTTCATTTTCCTTTCTTGTAATCAATACATTAACTAAATAGAAAAGTTGTTATAAGAGGTAAATCTTATTTTTATTTTTATTTTTTTTCAATCAGCAGGCAAAAGAAGGAAAAAATGCTGAAAAAGTTGATTTTCGTCGCCTAGGAGAAGAATTCTGCCGTTGGTTCTTTGAACTTCTTAATTCTCAGAATCCTTTTCTGGGCCCACCTCAAGGTGAATGGGGACCACAACACTTCTGGCATGATGTCAAGCTTAGGTTTTATTACAATACTTCAGAACAAAATGTGATAGACTACCATGGAGCAGAAATTGTAAGCCTTCGTTTATTGTCACTAGTAAAAGAAGAATTTCTTTTTCTCAGCCCCAACCTAGATTCCCGTGGACTAAAATGTGCTTCTTCTGCACATGGGTTAGTTATGGTTGGTGTTGCGGGCACTGTTCATCGAGGGAACAGTTGTATGGGCATTTTTGAACAAATTTTTGGACTTATCCGCTGCCCTTTTGTGGAAAATACTTGGAAAATCAAATTTATCAATCTGAGAATTGTTGGAGAAAGTTCCCTTGCTCCTGGAACAACATTGAAACCAGCTGTTAAATTTGAACAGAGTGACCTAGAGGCCTTTTATAATGTAATCACTTCGTGTGGTGACAACGAACTAAAACTTACTGTAAGGCAGACAGTGGATAGTGGGACTGGAGACCAAGCTTTATGTAGTGGAAATGAGACATTGTTAGAAAAAAAGAGAATTGAGTTTACCTAACCCTCTAGAGCATTGAGCACTGTTATATCAGCTTAAAAAGTCTTCCACGTGGAAACTTTTCAAATACTGCATCAGTAATTTCTAAGTGATTTCAGATGTAAGGATTGACATATTTTAGTTCAAATGCTTTCTGGACTACAGACTGACACATTATGTGAATACTTGGCCTATTTCTACCTGAGTTTCATCAAATGTTCTGGAGAGCTTACTGCAGTTTATCAAATAAATCCCACTTTAGATGTTGTATATAACTGTGTGCCTTAGAATCCAGGTAATATCTTAATTTTCACTTAGTATTATTGGTATCTGTATTTTCCATACAGCAAAGGATTAGTAGTGTTCTACGCTATCCTCTTTAAGTTTTTCATTTACTTTGATCAAGGTCTGGATATGGAATATTTTCCAAATGCATCTCAGTACAGTATTGTTTTAAAAAATCTTAGATATTTTAGAGATGGTTAATGTCAACTCAGTATTGTCATTTTAGAAAACTCAAATAACATTCAGAAGACCAAAAATTTAGCAGAGGGAGAAAAATATAAGTATAGAACCATTTCTCAAAGTTGGCTGCTCTGATCCAAGCTAAAAGTTTCTTTTAATATGCACTGTTTTCTGAACTTTTGGGGGGAATGATAAATGCTATCCTCAAAACAGACTTTATTCTTACCAAGGCTTCAGCCAACAGTTTTATAGAGCATTTATTGTAGCACCATATAAAAGAAAGTAACTGTTGACATTTTTAAGGTGTGCCTAGTTCCACCTTAAAAAAATGAATTACTGTTTCCTCCTGATTGATCTTGATAGAGGTGACCCCCCCCCCAAAAAAAAACAAAAACAAAAACTTAGAACATGGGCATGCATATATGCAAATGCATAATATATCCCCACTATAATTTAAACTTAGTTTTTCACCTCTAATTTGTGTTACAAGATTTGACTTATAAGTTTGAGTTGCCAGATTTAAAGCAACTATATAGTTGCTTTAAAGTTTAAGTTTCTCATCACCCAACAACTATTTGCTGATACTGGGTTTAGTTAGGAATTGTGATTTATAAAAGTACCATTTAGGAAAAAATTTAATGGGATAATATAATGATGTTTTATATGTGTTAAGTTTTTACATTTAACTCTGCACATGATTATCTAGGGGAGACAGATGAATATTGGAAGCAGGAGGAAAATACTTTTTTTTAAATGATATGCTTCTTAGAGGAATACAAATTGATATGTCATAAAAATAAGAATAAAGGAGGAAAATCCCTTTTGTCTGTGTAAGAATAGTGTATTGTTTAGATTTACTTTACATTTGTCTTGCTCTTAGATAAAATTTTAGACATTGAGCTGAAATAAAACAAATTTGCTGCTAGTTACACTACTGGTATAATATAATTAGTAATAACGAAAACAGCCATCTGAAAAGTAATTAGCTCATACTTTTATAAGCTAGACAATCAGGTCATAAGTCCATCTTTACCTATCCTATAACTGCTTGGGTTTAAAAATGAGTTTTATCTTATTTCTTAGGTTTGAAGTACCATTATAAAATATAAATATTCTAAATAAATGATAAAATTCAAAACACTTCATCTCTTTTGCTATTGATGTCAGGTAGTGCAGAAATATTACTATAGATGCTCAGGTGGGCAGGGATTTCCTTTAGCTGTCTTCAGGATTGCATATTTGAATTTGTAGAAAGTCCAAGGAACGCTGCAGTTTCTTCACATTTTTAATCAGCCTTAAAAATTGAAATCTAGATTTAAGTGGATTGGGATTTTTTTTGTTTTTTTTTTTCAGGAGGTGAATCCCCACATCTGAGAACATAGTAGAGCCTCATGTTGAAGGGAATAGTTAAATGTGTGAGCCAAAAAAAAGCCTACATACTAGGGGAAAAAATAATTTACGTTTTGTTCTTGTCAGTGTTGTTTTTTTGGTCATATAATCTGTTTGAATTTTATATGTGGATACACAGAAACTTCTGGGCCCCTAACTAACAGATTTGAGAGGAGAACTACTGACCTTGAAAGCTCAAGGTGATTGGGATATGTTTAAGAGCACTAATGCTACAGAAGGTACAAGGGAAATATATGAAGAAGCAGTACTGGGAAGAAAATGTTGGGAGGAATTAAAATCTGTTCATGAAATATGGAGCTTGATTTAGTCCTCAATAATGGCTAAAAGTGTCCTTTGAAATCTTCTTTTACTGCCACCACATTAGTCTGTTTATGTTTGGGGATGGCAGAGGTACTAGTTTTAAGTCTGTATTGGTTTGTTATATCCAAATAGCATTTGGAAAGTCTGCAGTCAGATAGTATAGAATGCAACACTACACATAATGCCTGATAATTGGGTAGTCAAAGTTGGGGATTATTTGAACTTTTATTTTCTTCAGGCTGGTTTGCCATAGCCTAATAACAGGGCATATATGGCTAAATACCTTTTTTTGTTAGAATTAAAAATAATTTACTGGATAATGTTTTAAAATCTTTTAAAACTAAATTGTAAGCAGTGGTTATATTAGGATGTCATACAAGCACCTAAAATGCCAAATACATATTTCATATGTCTTGCTAAAATACCAAACTATAGGAAAAAGCCATCTACTTGCAAATGGTAAACACTGGCAGGTCAGGAAAATACTCCACTGTTATCAAATGGTGACATTTTTTTTCTGAAAGAAAGCTAATTACCTAGTCCCATTGAGAGGTTATAAAAGCACCAGAAAAGAATGTAAAGAACTGGTATAAAGAAAAAAAATTTAAAATTTTTTTTTTCAGAAACCATTTTTCACAAATTTTTTTTTTAGTTTAATAGGTGATAAGATTGAACAGGGGGGCTGGGGATGTGGCTCAATCGGTAGCACGCTCGCCTGGCATGTATGCGGCCCGGGGTTCGATCCACAGCAACACATACAAACAAAGATGTCGTGTCTGCTGAAAACTGAAAAAAAAAAAAAATTAAAAAAAATTCTCTCTCTCTCTTTAAAAAAAAAAAAAAGATTGAACAGGATCTCTGTTTTCACATATTTAGATGACTTTCTTCACTGTTCTTTGGTGCTGAGGATTGAATTGAGGACCTTGTACATGCTTAACACACACTCTACCACTCAACTGTGCCCTTGGTTCTTAAGTTGGTTGTAGGGGGTGGTAATAAGTCCTATGAAAAATAAAATGAAAGATATATTGTTTCTTCCCAGAAGAAATATGTTAGCACATAGTATTAAATTTTTTGAGTATTTCAGTAAGTTTATGGGCTTTTCTAAAGTACATTGAGTATAGACATTATTCTCCATGTTAAAAAAATTTTCACTGTTATATTTCTTCAGATTACTGCTTTAACATGTTCAGAAGTAAAAATTTTTGGCATTGTCTTAAGTCCATAAGCTAGAGGACTGTATTCAGGATAAAAGGATAATCTTTAGGAAATCTGTTAGTTTACAGTAGTCTCACATGATTTTTGCTTTTCCAAAGATGTTAGTTATGAAGATAAAACCTGTCAAAATGCTGTTGAGTGGAGCATAAAAATATTCAGATTTATTTTATTTTGACAAGATAATTTAGTGTCAAATATTGAACATGCCTTGGAGAAAGTGATAAAGTGTGAAAAATGTAATACTTTCAAGATCTTTATCAAAACTATCCTAAGATGATGTTTGTATGTGGTGCTGAGGATCGATGCATATTGGTAATTCTCATGAAGGATTTCTAAAATATGAACATTGCTGATGCATAGTTTATATATATGATCTTACTATATATCTCTCACCTTCCTCATTTAACTACAGTGATACAGACAGTGTAGTTGCAATGCTAGGAAATAAGGCTTTCTGAATCTGGGGTCTTTCAAGTTTATTTGATATATATTCATTAAATAGCTATTTCTAAGTCACTAAATCAGTGTAAGACAAAATAATACTTAAATAGGCCATTTGCTCAAATTTATGTTGAATTCAAATCTCAACCTCTGAGTTTGGGTGGTTTTTATGGTGAGAGGTTCATTAGTCTCTTTGTAGGCTTCAGATAGTTCCTTTTATTTGATCAGAAAGAAGAAAACTGAAAATACAAATAGCTCTATGGCTACAAATAGCCATGTAGACCTTTCCTCCGCTTCCCAATTCTGGGGATTGAGTCCAGGAGCCCTCTACCACTGAGATACATCCCCAGCCCTTTTCATTTGTAGACAGGTCTCAATATTTATCACCCAAACTGGCTTCAAATATGCCAACCTCCTGCCCCAGTCTTCCCAGTAACTGAGATTACAGTGTGCCACCCTGCCTGCCCTAATACATGTAGATTGTCAATACAGAATACAGTGTATTTTGACAGATCACTTAAGAGTTGGAAGGAAAAAGTTTTCATACTGTAGCAGAATGTGCTAAATGCATTTAGCTTTATTTTTTTCTGGCATGAGCCTTCCCAACATTCTTTCAGAAAAATGTTAAATTATATGTGATATTTACTCTAGAACCATTTGTGTTAGTCATGAAATTGTTGGACTAGAATTGTCTGTTCTTAGTACTGCTAAATCTCCTCATTACTATTTTTAATGAGTCATTCAGTGAAATGTTGGTTAGTAATTTTCATCTGCACTGTGTAGATACTCTAAATCTCAAGTATGAAATTAGTTACATTTGAATTATTATACTTAAGAAGTGAAAGAAAGATCACCTACTGCCAACTGTGTTACTTTTCTGATTCAGTGTTTTCGAAAAGATAACTACTGAGGAAATCCTTATCATTGAAGCATTTAGCCTATAAATTTACATTAATCTTATCCATCTCTCATCGTTTACTGTGCAGATATTGGTATTATGCTTAGTTGTTCTCAGATAGTTACATATAGGTTACTTTTGTCTTCATAAGTTGTAGATAATAAGAACTGGTGATTGTTATTTTCAAGCTTCTCTTCCCAAGTGTCTTGCATAGGATGAGTAATAGCTAAATTTGAAGTGATTTTTTTATATGCCAGTTATATGTCAGTTACTTGTCTATGTATATTGAGTGTCTTAACTCATTCAATCCTGCAGACAGCTGTAGGCGGTGGATACTATTATCCGTCTTTTATTGGAAAACAAGACTGAGTGACTTCTAAACTGTCATAGATAATGTTACAGCCTAGATTTATACCCAGACTTCAAATTATATATAAGGTTTTGATGGACCCTTTTTACTCATTATCTTCAGTATGAAGATAGTCCTTTGCTGGTTTGTTGTCTTCTTTCCAAAACAACAATGCCTTTGACCTATATTGTTTATCTAAATACTATTTCTTCAATAAGTCAGGCATGTTTTCTCTGTAGGAGTTCTGAGTATAATGTCTACCTAGAATATTGTTTCCCAAACTTTTTACATGATTGCTTCATTTTCATCTTTAAGGACTTTTTGTTTACATGTTTTTTCTTAAGTAAATCCTCAGTTACTGTTTACCAGAGCATCTTGTTTAGTTTATTGTTAACACTTTAGATATTATTTGCCAATTTACAAAATTATATTTTCTGTTAGATTTTAAAACGAGACCAGGGACTGTAATGGTTATATTTTCATTACTTGCACGGAAAGTAGGTATTCAAAAGATATTAAAAGACAGATTAAGGAAATAAATGGCTGGAAATGTAGTTCAGTGAGTGATAGAGTCCTTGTTTACCTTGCATGAAGTCCTGAGTTTAATCCCCAACACTGAAAAAAACAGTGCTGCTTTCTATTCATAGCCCTGTATAATTCTAGACTTTTCCCTGTCAAAGACAATGCCTAGCATATGTATGTATTAGGTGCTCAGTGAATATTTCTTTAATGAATAAAGACAGAATTATCTTCCTGAATGATGACATGTGAGCTCTAACATGACCAACACTGTAATAGAATTATCAAGGTCTTAATATGCTGTTGTAAAAGATGAAAAAACTGATGTTAAGTAGCATACTGAACTTCACACAGTTTTATTGTGAGAATCGTATATCTTGGCTTTTTTTTTTTTTAAATTCATCATATTTTTAAACTGCAAAGCTAATGTTCTTTCTTGTACTTTGTTTCCAGTCTAATTTAAACTCATCCTCGATTTCATCATATGTAAAAATGATCCATCTAAATTAAATGACTTCTGAGGTCTGGTATGATTTTAAAGTGACATGGTTTGTGATTGTATACCACCTCGGAAATTGAATGTTACTTTAAAAGAATATGTAGAATATTGTTGAAGAAATTAATTATTATCTGGCTTCCTCATCAGTAATGCTCATTAAAAAACTTTTGTGTTCCTTAAATATACATGAATACATTTTATGTATATATGTGGGTAATATGTATATTTTGACCATAGGAAGGAAGAAACAAAATGAAATAAGATATTCTATATCATATATAGAAAATGAAAAGGTATGACATTTAAATTTTTTAAAATTTTCTCATCACTAGAAATTTCAAAGCTGTTTGAAACTAGTTTTGTTAAAACTTTTCTGCCTTATTGCATGTGTTGACAATATTTCCATGTTTTAGTCAAGAAAAGTGCAAAATGATTTGACAGAAAGCCAAATTAAAGACTGCCAGTACAGATGGTCCCCAACTTATGATGGTTTGACTTAAGCTTTCAACTTGATTGTGTGAAAGCAATACACATTCAATTGTTACTATACTTCAAATTTTGAATTTTGATCTTTTCCCAGGCTTACATAGAATAACTCATTCTGTTTTTCACTTTCAACACAGCATTCAATATTTAACACTTTATTATAAAATAGGCTGGTGTTAGATGATTTTGCCCTATTGGGGGCTATTGTAAGTGTTCTAATCATCTGATGATTAGAGTAGGCTAGGTCAAGCTGTTTTCAGTCGATTAGGTGTATTAAATGCATTTCTGACTTCAGATATTTTCAATTTATACTGGGTCTATCCAGATGTAACTCCTTTGCTATAACTTGAGGAAAATAAAGATATTAAGAAAATGATCCAATATAGTTAATTCCTTTTAAGAGACTAACATAGAAGTTGGTGTATATTTAAGATTGACATTGGACACAAGTGGCAGATTTTTCCTACTTTTTCTGTAGGAAGCATGGCCCTTTGATGGTGCTGCTCATAAAATCATTTAAAGTTATTTCAAGAAGTTTAATAAAACATTTGCTTATTAAAACAGAAGGTTTTGCAACACTTAGTGCACTAAATGGAATAGTCAGATTTATGATAGAACCCAGAGTACAGAAACAAGAATAAACAACAGAATATAAACATACCAAGGATTTTAATGCTGGAACTGTCAGTAGAGTAAATATTAAATCACTGGACATCATTAAGCTCCTAGGAATTAGAAGAAATTATACAAGAGGCCTTTTATGAGCAGCTTATGCTAGAGCAAGAGTTTAGGATAGAGAAAGTTGATTTTAAAGAATGCATCAATGGCTGGGTTTGGCAGTGCCCACCCATAATCCCAGCTATGTGGGAGGCTGAGGAAGAAGGATCACAAATTCAATACCTGTGCAATTTAGTGAGACTGAGTCTTAAAATAGAAGATAAAAAGAGCTGGGGAGCTCATTGTTATAATGCCCCTGGGTTCAGTCCTCAATACCAAGAAAAGAGTAGGGGTAGGGAAGAATGCTTTCATGCTTTAAGCATTCTTACTATTAACATTCTTGTTGGTAAACATTTATTGAGTACTTTATATATGTGCCACGTATTTTTAACAGGAGGCATTCGGTATATTGTTTGTTTCTTCTGGTTTCCTATACAATTCTCATTTTGTTTAATTTTTACTGTTTATTAAAGAGTTTATTTTATTATGAAATGCTTCTTTGTAATCTTTTGTTGATGCTTTTCTACTATTGTCATCTTTTTATGTTTATTTAGATAGTACAATCCTACCCTCTTGATTAGATCAGTGCTGCTAAAAGAATTGTCCTTGGCAGTATACATTTAATAGTTTGGCAGTTTCAGAGAGGGGGACAAAAGCACAAAAAGTAGGTTCCCACATAATTCATATATATTTTACAAATCTTGGGTAAATAAGTTACATATTTTTTAAAGTTTTAAATGGAAGATTATTTTCATGAAAATTCCATTAAGTTTAACAGTGTTTTTATAAGAGATGGGGATGTAGCTGAGTGGTAGAATGTTTGTCTAGCCTGTGTGAGGCACTGTGTTCAATCCCTAGTACCAGGAAAAAAAAAAAAAAAAAAAACACAACTTTTTTTTTTTTTTAAATAAAATTTAAAAGTAAAATATATAGGTGCATGGTTGGTTGGTTGTAGATCATTGTGTTGGTCAGTTTAACGTCAGCCAGCATGAAGTTGGCAGGGTGTTCATCATCACCATCATTAATGATCTTTCCTATAATTTGAATGCTTGGTAAGTTTGCATTTCATAGATGACACTGTTACATCTCTGATTCACTAAATTCACTTATTGAAAAATGATAAAAATTGCAGTGAATACAACTATTCATAACAATACCACAATGTAGATAATAGAAAAAACTAGTATGAAAACTAGTATGTGCTGTGCAGATTTTGTGTGACTGATGTTTCATAATAGCTGAAACAAACAAGGAAGATTATGATGACTATTATGAAATTGTCTTTGGTCTGCAACCCAATCACTGTGGATCAGCTGATCATATTGTCTGTCAAATATTTATATGTCATCAATCAGTGTTCACATTATTTTGAAAACACATTGATTTCTCTGGTAAGTGAATTTATTAAGACAATTTATTTCCTGAGCAAGTGTTAAATAATAACATTCCGGTTTCAAATTTGTCATGTAAGATAAATGAGTCAAAAATTGTAGACACATCATCCAGAATATCCTTAAAGTCAAGCATAAGACACTTGCTGAGAAGCTTGTAAAAACTGTCTCAACATTAAAAACAAATATAATAAAACAAGATTTTAGAAAAGTTCTATCAAAAGGATATAGTATAATTTGTTGACAACATGGAAGAGAAATTCCTATTGTGTACTAGAAAAGATATTTCATTTTTCAGACAAAACCACTGATGTGAAGTGAAGTCATTATTTGACATGTGTATTAAATATATGAGGAGTTCTTAATTTCTTGTTCCATTTATCCCTGGAACCCTAACCCATTATAGACTATCCTGAGACATAAAACTTAAGTCCTTGGGACTACACTGATTAGATCATTACTTTAATGATGGAGCACCAGCTACTTGGGCAGCCCTGAAGATATTTGTTGGGTAAAAGGACTATACAAAAACCAATGACACCCCTCTTTCTTAAAAGAAGTGTAATAAAATACCATCAAGATGGTAATGCATTGTTGGAGGGAGTAGAAATATAATCAGTTTTGATTGCTTAAATCTGCATTATTTTTATAATACTTTGGGAAAAACTGGGCAGGATGTTACAACATTGTTTTTCTCTTCTGATAGTGACTGCTTAGAGGAAAAGTGCTCACATGAGGTTTTGAAATAAGGGATGAAATTAAAAAATATTTCTCTGATATATTAGTAATGGCCTTTCCCTTGATATTAGGTACCTTGCTCAAGTGACATTTCAACCAATCCATTGTCTTGAAGAGCCATTCCTTCAGGTTCATAATGTGAATTTTAATGACAAGGAGATAGGATTAATTTAAGATGGGAATGGCTCAGTTCTGCAGAGGTTCATTTTTCTCCCTACCATTTCAATGTTTCCACTTGCTTCAGAAACAATACATTTTGAGGCTTATTCAAAACCACATCCAAATACTGCAGGGAACATGAAAGAATACTTCTGTGAGGTAAATACAAAGGACAGATTGAGAATGCATTTAACATTATCTACAGGTGGATTTTTCTTTTTGTGATAGTAGGCATAAGGATTATTGTGAGAGAAAGTATGTGGCTGAAAAGAATTACATAGATCAATTAGTAAGAAAAATAGTAAGCTTTGTAAATCAGCCTGACAAGGTGGCAAACGCCTATAATTTCAGCTACTCTGGAGGCTTAGGCAGGAAGATAGCAAATTTGAGGCCAGAGTTGGTAAATTACTGAGACCCTGTCTCAAAATGGAAATGAACACACACACAATTGAGGCAGAGGATTTGGCTCAGGGTGGAGCACTTGCCCAGGATGCATGAGGCTCTGGGTTCACTCCCAGTACCACACAAAAATAAAGAAACTTTGTAAATCACATCTCCTCTCAGCATGTTTGCAGAAGAGTGACAAGCTTCCTATTGCTATAAGGATATAGTAATATATACATCATTCTTATCAAGTTTCAACAAGTTATATGCCTCTGCTGACCTGACTCTATGTATTTTTTTAAAAATCAGTAATCTGTTTTTTTATATAAATAATTGAACTGAAATTGTCAATTGCATTTTAGCAGCCATTCAAGGTCCCTTTTTTCTGTCCTTTCATAACCTTAGTGTTTGGCGATTTAGTTTCCACTTCACTTTCTGCTTTTACTTTCCATCCAATCAAGGCTCAGTTTGAAATATTTTCAGTACAGAAGTGAGAAAACTTAAAAACATATTTTCTGCTGGGGGTGTTACTCATTGGTAGAGCTTGCTTGCTGTGTGTGTGTGTGTGTGTGTGTGAGAGAGAGAGAGAGAGAGAGAGAGAGAGAGAGCGCTTCAAATTCTATGAATTACACAATTATATTTTCAGAATAACATCGTTTATCAGTGAATGATCTTTCCTCTAGAAGTATGTAGCGTAAGGACATATTTTTGCAAAATTTGTTTTCGAGGATAGGGGAGATTTTCATCAGATAATTTTTATATTCTTTGTTATTTCCTTACCAAAATAAAGCTTTATTAACTGTTATAATTAGTGAATGTATAAATTTATCATATGTAAGTTTTCTAATTTATATGAACAGAAATCTGAGTAATGTGTGTGGGGAATGACTCTAAAAGATGTGCTATGATGGAAGGAACATAAAGTTGAATCAGATCAAAACAAATTTTGCAAAAATATGTCCTTACACTACATACTTCTAGAGGAAAGATCATTCACTGATAAACGATGTTATTCTGAAAATATAATTGTGTAATTTACTGATACAAGCCCACAAAGCAGAGATTCTGCATTAATGTTGGTGCTTATAGTGTTGGAAAGGGCTCTAAGAGTTTCTTTGGTTGGATGAAACACAGAGCTAAAGATAGCATACCATGAGGAAGTTGGAAATGCCTAATCTCTTGGTTTAAGATAGAGGAAGGGATTCAGAGGTTTAGGGAGAGTGTCCTATGCTCTTTCTATAAGAACAACCATCACATTGGATTAGAGCCCCACCCTAAATACCTCCTCTAATCTTACTTACCTCTTGAAAGTCTTACTCCAAATGCAATCACATTCTGAGGTACTGGTAAAATATATGAAATTGCAGGAAGGAATGATTTAGCAGGTAACAGCCCATAACCATTAAAATGGTGAATATTTTTTCCCTTTTGTATTTGTACTTGCACACACTCATATTCCTTTGTGTTTAAGAGAAAAAATTGCTCATCAAAAATGGGAAATTTTCTCATTGGCATAAATTTTAAATAGGGAAAAAAAAGGATCTTTTACAACAATATCCCTAATAGTCAAGAGATGAAACTGCTCTAAATTAGGATTCCAAGGCCAGTGGGCCTTATGGCAGGTTAACACAAAGCACCAGTTTGAAAATAAAATCAAGACTATTTAGGAAGAAGGTCTAAAGCAAATAGAACAGTAAAAGAAATTTCATGGCAGTGTGAAATTTAAATGTGTGAGTAAAAAATTGTGATCACTTAAACTTCATTAGGCAATAGTGGTTGTGTTAGCTTTTTGTTTCTGTGACGATATAACTGAGAAAAACAACTCAAAGGGAGGAAAGTTTATTTTATTTTTTTTTAAGATTTTTTTAGTTGTCAATGGACTTTTTTTTTGATTATTTATTGTGGTGGTGCTGAGAATCAAACCCAGTGACTCACACATTAGGCAAGCACTCTACCACTGAGCCACAAGCCACAACTCCAGCCCCAGGAAAAGTTTATTTTACGAGGCTTCAATCCATGGTCATCTGGTTACATTGCTTTGGGCCTGAGTTTAGACAGAACATGGCAGAAGAGTGTGGTGAAGCAAAATGACTCTCCTCATGGTGGCTAGGAAGGAGAGAGAGAGAAAGGCATGGGGGTAAGGAGTCAGGGAGAAGTATTGTCCTCAAGAGAACACTCCCAATGACAACTCCCTTCAGCTGGGTCCCACCTCCAATAGTTTCTACCACCTTCCAATAGTTCATTCAATTATGAGTCCTATCAATGAATTAATTCTTTGATGAGGTTAGACCTCTCATGATCCAATCATGTTCCAGAAGCCCACCTCTGAACACTTCTGCATTGGGGATAATTCTTCAACATATGAACCTTTGAAGGACATTCCAAATCAAAATCATAACCATCATGTTCTATATTTTGATAAGGTTTTATTGTGTGTAGGTATATGTATTTCTTGAAAACTCAGCAAGTACACATTTGAGTTGTGGATTGTAGTGTATGTAAATTTTATGTAAACACACAAAGAAGTATTAAACTCTAGTTGATGATATTGTTAAAATTTGGCGATGTTAAAATTTTTAAAAGCTTATTTTAGCAGATATAAGTCTGGCAACATGAAACTATAAGTATTTTGGGCTCCACTGAAGGGGCTCAGGGTCAAGGGTAAACAAGGTATTCATAGAAGCAAGACAGAAAATATTTGATTGCTTAAAGTGTGAAAGTAGCTTTAAAGGCCTTAGTTAAGATTGGTTGGGAGATTCTCACTGGTAAATTTTCTAGCCAGAGGTTAATTGACAGTTTCTGATTACCAGTGTATCTAGT